AGCCACGTTTATGCAGAAGGTCCTTGATGGCCGCAGCCAGGCACAAACTTTCCTAGCTAAGCATAATCTTCACATAATAGTTTCTCTTCTGAAAAAGGAGATAAGGTGTGCCTGATCTTGTGATCAGTGATCTTTTAAAGCATGAAGATATCACAGGGTGTAAGTGAGCCAAGGAGTTGTACTTCTGGAGGGAAAGTTAACAATCCTATGTTTTCTAGTAGATTGTTTTGCATATGAAATTGGATTGGATATTTAGAGAAGAAGCTTCAAGATTATTTTAATACTAATGTGTAACAATGTAAAATAACATACAGGAAATAAATGTAGCGCCCTCATCCTTAACCTTCAATAGGGCGGAGCACCAGGTTTTGACAGTGGTTGCGTTTGAGAACTGATAAACGCTGCCTTCAGAGGACGCATTTCAAGGTCGGAAGGCATCAAGGCACGTCCGAATGCAATGTTAGTTTCACTTGCCATCTCCTGAGAATCTTTATCTGATCGATTTCTGAAGGCAGCATTGATGTATCCTTCGCTGCCTTTGATATCCCACGATCCTGTGCTTTCCATTCTGTGACAATTGAGCTTGAAAAATAAAGATGGCGTCTGAAAGTTGCGGTTGGTCGACAGTTTGTGTGTAAATGTTAATTTCACTGTAGATCAACGTTTTCCACTTTTGATGTCATTTCTAGCAAATATTCTCTTAGTTTTCACCGAAGCTCGCTGCCTCAGAAGTCAGATGTCTAACCCAACAGAAAATAATTTGATTAATTTGAAAACAAAAATGAAACTGAAAAAAAATCGTCATCCATGTTAAAAAAATCACTAAAGACAAGTGAATTATCAAAATGTCAGTTGTGCAATTTTTATGAGAAATACCTCTTAAACTGTTCAGTACTTCACAGTCTCATAAAACTGACATAACCCGAATGATTAATGAACTTCACATTAAATGGTACTCAATTACCAATACGAATAACAGCCAACACGGTTCGATTGAGATTCAGTAACCCATAAGACACTTCATTTGTTTCAATAGCATCAAACATTAGTATGAAACAACAAACTTCACTTAGTCAATTTACAAGTGTGGGCCCACACACACACCAGTCACACACCCCAACCTGTTGCACGCCTTTAACTTTAAAAGAAAAACAAATGTGATGTTTAATTAAAGTCATGTTTCCTTATTTGTATGGTTAAATCAGATAATAGAAGTGGGATTAAAAACATGAAGTAGACTTGTATAAGGCTATTTAACATATTTTATTATTGCAGATTATCAGTCAATAAATAGGAAAAAAAGTGCATACTTAATTTTGTTTTAAATTAAAAAGCAATGCTTTACTTTACTAGTTACTTGAAAAAAGTAACTGATACTGATTATGTTACTGAACATGAACAAATAGAGAATTGTGAATTTTCACTGGTATCTAATATCTAATATTGAATTTTTATACCGGCCAGGTATTTAACAGATAAGGCAAAATATAGTTTTAGGTCCTGCATGTAACACGACATTATGTAGCTGCTTTAAGCCGAGCAAAATTTGGCTTGGTTGTTTCCCTGGGAATATTTGCATTGAAAACACTAAATTGTCCTTAACTGTAAATGTGTCTATGTAACACACTGGAAAATGGAAAGCTGGATGGAATATGCTATTTAAACTCAACAGGCCTTTATAAATCCCATCCCAATCCAATATGTCACATTTAATATAGCCTAAAACAATATGTAAACTGTAGCATTTTATGAGTAAAGCACCTGGTTTTTGTTCGTTTTCTTTTGCACTTTGTTTGATTGAATAAATCAACTATGCACTTGGATTCAATACATCTCTGCGTTTAAGTCCCTCATTACAAAATTGCAGTGTAAAGACAGTAGCAAAATGGAACAAGACTAACTTGCATCATAGACACACTTCCAATACAAAAGCTGTTTTCAAAAAGTAAACCGCAATATTATGGAGGCATAAATCATATTTAATGGCAGAACTGTATTCTTCAGATAAAGTAGTTCCAGAATGCACTGCAACATGCTCATAAACATAAAACAATCATAAAAATGTATTAAAATACTTATTTATGAATAGTACTGACATATAGTCATCAGATGAACCATGATGCCCTTTCACTTGTGTACTTGCTTTTTAATTCACACGCCACGTATTATTGTTGTCATGACAAGTGCGAAAGATATGGAATGAGGATGAAGTATACTATTTTTTACATAGGAACATCATTAATTAGAGTTTAAAATGAGACCGTTTCCAGTCCAACAGCTACTGCATTGTTACAGCATCAATGATACACCAGGAAGATTACCTGTTGTCATAAGTGTTGCAATTTGTTCTCTGCCAGTAAAGAGTCTCCAAAAAAATGTAAGATATTGTTTTAAGATAATATCTTTAGTATCCTTACGAAAAAGAAGTCTATGCTATTAGTACTGTTTACTTCTTTTAAACTAAAAATAAGATAGTATATACTTTCAGTCTGTACTTTTTATGTACCTCTAATAAATATAATTTATGTACCTCTCAGAAATATACTTAAAATTACACTAAAGTATACTTGGCTTATACTGACAGAAAAGTCTAAGCCTATACCTGTTCTCAATCTTTTGATCAAGATATACTTAAAAGTATAATTAAGTAATCAAAGTATACTTGACTTGTAGTTTTGTTTACTATTTTGATTGAATGGCCTATTATATGTTTTCTTTTACATTACATTTGGTCACAAACATACTTTTTTTTTTTAATAAATACTGATTTATAAAGAAAACAGATGTTCCTAATTCTGAGTTTCAGAATTTTTGTGTAGGCTAGTCCACTGTTAGTGTAGGAATTTACTTCAAATCTTTACTTTTTCCCCGCTATTGACTGAATATTTCGGCTATTTATGTTTTCACTGTTGTATGTAGGGGGCCCAATTACGCATCTTCTTAGGGCCGGTTCACATATCGCGTCTTTTGCGCGCTCAAGTTCGTTATTTCAAATGTAGGCGCGCGGTATGCGCGCTCGTTTTTTCCAGGCGCGTCCGCGCCGCATCGAGATAAAAACATCTCAACTTTTCAGAATGCCGCAAGCGCACCGTAGGTCACGTGTCACGTCAACCAATCAGCTTCCTCGCCATTTTTGTTACCTCTTCTTAAAATATAATCAAACTGGTCCCACTCTGAAATAGGCTTTGAACCTCCCATTGTCCAGGCGGAGTTCCTGAATCAGCTGGTGAAATTCCCCATGGTTCTTGCGTTTTTGTAGTATGGGGTGCACCCAAACACTGCGGCGTTTTTTTACTTTTCTGAGTAAATAAATCTTGTAACAGAGTTACAGCAAAGGTTTTTCGGTGGTGGAAATCCATTGCTGAAATTTCCTTCATGTAGCCTAATGGAGAGCGCAGCTGATGGTTGCTTAGCAACGACAGACGCCTCCGGAGTGCAACCGCCCTAGCGCTTCTTTGGAAAAAGGAGAACGCGTGCGCCTAGCGTTTTCTACGCGTTTTTAGGCGCGATATGTGAACGGCCCCTTAAAGAGTACAGAATCCCCGGATCAAAACAGGCGAAGAAGAAGCAGAAACAAGTGATAGAAGATTGCTTACGCAAATGTAAAATAATGCGGTGCCTTGCCTTGCCATATAAATAAAAACTGCCTGATGTTACTTCATGAAATGTCAACCCAGGAAAGATTAACAACTGTGAAACTTTAGGATGTTGCGGGACTCAACAAAGTGGAGTTCAAATTTGGAACAAATCACCTACAGTACCTTACCTTTTAGACATAGTCGAGAGTGTTTAAGCGAATACCCTTCTGATTGGCCCTTTTAGAAACCAGCTCAACAGAGTGCCGAAGTTACGACGGCACTCTGTAGGCCAAAACGCAGAAGTGAGTTAGCATTTTAGCATTACGGTTCCCTCGCTCTAAAGCCTATGGGATTTTTAAATGGGTTTTTGCTAAATCGCCTGAAATAAGGTCTGTGGTGAACAAAGCCTCGAAATATTATAACATAGAACACAGTTATGGTTTTTTAAACTTTATTGTGTCTGATTGTGTTTTTAAAAATCTTTATATAGGCTTCAAAATGTATAAATTTTGGATTAACTTGTAAAGATTATCTTGCTAGACAAAACGTGTAAGGAGCACAACTCTTTGTTGAACACAGGTCTTATTTTTTGCGATTTTCCAAACGTCTATGGGGAAAATGCATTGCTTTTCGACCGAGGGAACCCATGCGCCGCTAACTTCCGAGTTGTCCTACAAAGTACACTTTAATTTAACAGCTATATGCTGTAACACAAAAATAGTAACACACCGTATTGTTACGGTATGATGCTGGCAACCACAGCTGCCTGTAGTTTACTGGGTTACTCTATACTTGAAGGGGTGTGCACACACACTAACACAGTAACATAATGAGGGTCTGTACATGCAAAACGAAGCATTGAGAACTTTGTAAGTGTACAGACCGTTTAATAAGAAGATACTTTATAAAGACAGTTCACTTCGAGTATACAGACAGGAGCCATCTTTGGAAAACAGTCTCGACTAGTCAAACCACGCACGACGTGCTAAGTTCGCTGAACAGTATGAAGTTCAGTGAACTTCTGAACTGTATGAACGGCATTCGTGGTTCAACTTGTCGAGACTGTTTTCCAGAGACTGTTGATTAAAACTAGCAGAATTAGAAAGATGTAAGATCACGTCGGGGTCACCAAAAATTTTGGTGTTTGACCTTATTTAGACCAATAACTGGGATACAACTGAGCCAAAGTATATATTTATCTGACTCGATGAAGTTGTTGTTAATATAATTATTTTGTAACATTACTTTCTTAAAATCCAGAGAAAAATGCAAGCTTTATGTTAGCTTTTTAAACAAATATCATGTTGAGAACAGTAATTCAGAGTCAGAGGTTTGAAGTTACATTTATTAAAATATTACAGATACGGTAGAAGTAAAAGTCCTCAGAATTAACATGGATTAGAGAATAGACAACAGAAGCGGTACTTCTAACAAAAAAAGTGAGTCAAATTGACTTTATTCTTCATATGCCTTAAAAACACTTTTGCTTTCTTATACAGTACAATTTCCATCAAGGGAACAGCTGTTTGTAATAGTCCTACATTTACATATTAGGTCCTATGATCCATAAAAAGTGTTTAAAAAAGAAGAAAATGGTAAAAAATAGTAAAGCACTAGGCAAAGCCAAGTATGTTGCTGATTTGCTATTTATTGTTTTAAACTAGACATTTACTTGTGTTACAAGTGTAAAGTACTTGTACAAGTCTTGACCTTTAGACAGAATATGAAACACACAGTATCAAAATATGAATAATTTCCCTTTCATCCCTTTCATGTGTGTGCAAATGTTAGTGGCATACAATGTCTGACATAAAGTAATGCAGATTTTAACATATTTAAATGATATTTTCAATTAACACGAAGAGAGAGGATTCATAAACAGAATGTAATGTTTAAATGTTCTTCAGAAGCTGGACATTAGATACATGCGGTCAGTTACTCTTGTCTTTTTGATGGTGTACACCCAGAATCCCACCAGCACCACAATTGAGACTATAAAGAGTCCCAAGAAGACTGCGGTGCCTGCATTGATATGAAGAGAACCACCATTTTCTGATGCTAAAGAAAGTAAGAATCGATTATATTAAAGATCATGATGCAGAATCATTTGAACTCATTACTATTTAAGACTTTACTAATGTACCTTCTGCAGAATGCTGAGTTTGTCTAGCCACACGGAAGGGACCCTGCATTATGTGATGCCTATCGGTTTCTTTGCTCACATCTCGTCTGCGTTTGCGTGCGGGTTCTCTGAGGCAACCTTGGGCGCATCTAGAGTTTGAACTTCCTTCCGCACACAGAATTACTGAGCAGGTAATGTACACCTGTCAACAGAATTTGAGTGCATTGTAGTTAATGTTCATACTCAACAACATTTACAACATTACTATGTGATTCGGAAATAGCTACCTCATTGTAGCCTCCTGTGAACTTGAAAGCTCGGATCCCAAAGTCATACGTTCTTGCATCACTATGATAAACCTCAACTGTGCCATCCAAAATACACCTGTAAGAAAACAAAGATCACATGACTTCTGAATAATTATACAGAGCAGCTAGGGTAGCAAAACAATATATTAATTCTGAATATTCAATCAAGCATACACGGAGAGATTACATGAATTGTTTATCATAAACGTGTATTGTCTAATATCTATGGAGAAATCTTGAATGAAATTCTCAAACAGTAGATCTTCAACTTCCTGCAGATTCAGTGATCTGAGAAACTTGACTATCGTGGAAACCCTGCTATCCGGCAAGGATAAGCAGAATAAGCGATTAGCTATAATCCTTTAGTCATATTATTCAGGAATCACAGAAGTAAACAAAGGTATAAGTAAACAAGACAATAGGAACCGAGGAACCGAACCAAACTCAGTACTTAAATATAAAGGATATATAGGCCCCGTCCACACTACTGCGTTTTCTTTTAAAAACGGAGACCTTTTGCTACGTTTGCACCTCCCGTCCACACTAAAACGGGAAAAACGAAGACCTAAAACGGAGAAGTTTAGAAACGCTGCAGCTGCGTTTTGCGTTTTGAATCTCCGGTGGACGAGACAAAACCATACAAAACGGAGAACTTCAGAAACGATGACGCAGAGGCTCACGCTCGGCTCTATGATTGGGTGTTATCAGTCATGACGTATCCTTCCCTGATTCGCCATTCACTGTTTACACTGGCACGCACATGATCCGCGTTTTCAGTCGTTTTAATGTGGACGGAGATCGTTTCTAATACGCAGATAAAACGCTGGTGTGGACGGAGATCGTATTCATTTTAATTCTCCGTTTTTAAACGAAAACGCAGTAGTGTGGACGGGGCCATAGTCAGGCCAGCTGACAGTCTTGCCTGGGCCCGGGACAAGATAACCTTAGATGGGCCAGATTTTTTCACAAATATGCTTAAATTATTTATTTCTTAACAATTATTCCATAATTTAATGAGGGCCCAGTTCTTGTTCCCAGTTCAAACTTTCCATTAATTTGTCTCTCCATTGCAACAATCACAGCCAATCATTGCAAAGCATATTTGAAGATTGATATATAACTATGTTAATTTTGGATAAATGAGGTTTCAATGTGGGCGGAGCTATACAGCGAAATACCAGAGATATAGAAAACCAAGACACTTTTCATGTCTGGTTAAGTAAAAATCTTTTTTTTTTCTTCACAAAATAAAATTGATGTGGAACAGATATAGAAGAGAGATGTTACCATAATTTAGTGTAAGGATTTTAGCAGTCTCACCCATCTTTGATGATGTCATAAGAGAGGGCACTGTATGGGTTGGCATCTGGAGTGGCCCTGCAAGACTCCACAAAGAGCTGGACCTCAGGGAGAGCAGAATGGGCTGCTATGCCCATGTAGAGCATATCATTTAAATTTATCTCCAGCGGATACAGACTGGGACCCACTGGACTGCTAAAGTTATTGTTAGTAAAAATGTCAAATGTGTAACTAAAAGTGCCAAAGCTGGATTCAGTAAAGATGAAGTCTGTCTTCTTGTTGATGTAGTGGTTTGAAACACTGGCTACTTTGGGGTACTGGCAGGAGAAGCCGATTTTAACTTGATTGCGTCTGGTGATTACTTCAATGGGGTTCTCAAAAGAATTGATCTCGTTTTTGAAGACCATGAAGTCTCCGGAGTCCTGATTGGTCAAGAGGAAGCAGGTGTGTGAAAAGATCAGGCAGAAATAAAAAACAGATATATATATATATATATATATATATATATATATATATATGTAATGTTAAGAGTAATGTTCATGGAACATCCATCTGATGTTTCTCTTGTTTTTGATGAATGTTTTTTTTATAATGTGATATATTATATTATATATACTATATATAACTGATTAATTAAAGGTCTTGTAGGTAGGAATTTTATAAAAAAAAAACTTTTTTCAATTTTTTTTAAAACTTTCTATATATATCATTGCATAATTAAAATGTAAGTACTCTGATAAAAAGAGTATAAAAATCGAGTGACTCTAGACCGTTTAATCTGCACTAAACACAGCTCATTATTTCCAACCGGGACGAAACAAAGGATTGGCTTAGGCGACTGTCACTCTCTCGCAACCATGGCAACCACCCTTTTGCATCACTTGCGCGTATCCAGATCATGCCTGTTCACATGCCCTTGTTTGAGCTTGAAGATGCAAAACTCGACGCAGGTCCTCTTGTCCAAGAAGTGCTCCTTGCCCTGCACTTCGACCACCCCGTCCTCGGCCTCTACTTCTTTGGACCCTAGTTAAACGACCTCCTCTGCTTCGCCCTCGACCTCGGATCTGTCCTCGAGCTGATGATGCGGTACACAACACGACTTTTGCGTAAACATACACGCCTCTTTCAAGTCAAGTATAATACACATTTTGAGCTATCCGCGTGTATGTGTGTATGTACACACCGTTAAATGTCTGAGCGAAACGAAGCAAAATGTAGATCTACATCTGGGGAGCGATATTTTTTTCCTAGGATGGTAGGGGAAGACTCATAAATGGTATTAACCCCACTGTCCTCATCAGAGTCAACAATGCTTTCATCATGGAAACTCTTACATTCCGAACACCATATGTTATGAATCTTACACGAAATTCATCTTGATCACAGTGTAAATGATGGCAATGGAAAAACGTGTACCATGCAACCTGTTTTTAGCTTTGCCTTATAGATAACTAGCTCGTTAGTGAAGGAGATTAATAATTGATTAATAAATATATATTTTAAACTTTACCAATAGCTTGATAGTGAGTACTAAAATACATATCATTTGTTTATTTTTATAATTATAAAGTTAGATTTTTTTATTACATGATTCTGACATGGTGTCACTACATGCACTGCGCTTCTTCCTCTCCGCTCGTCTCAGGTATACTAATGCGTCTTCAGCTCAGCTGTCGGAGTCGCGCGTTCATGTGTTTTGGGGGCGTGGCTTTGGAAGGAGCCCAGAAGGGAGGGGGTGAAGTGAATGGAAATAATGAGCTTAATGAATAATGAGTCTTTAAAACAGTCGTGAGAGGTCTAAAAACACTAATTTTTATACTTTCTTTTTCAGAGTACTTACATTTTAATTATGCATTGATATATACAGAAAGTTTAAACAAATTTGGAAAAATTCATACCTACAATACCTTTAAATCTTGGGATAAAACCTTTTTTTGGTGTCATTATTCTCAGATAGTCCTTTAATCATTAGAAGGATCAGCTAAAAGGAAACGTTCTTATAACTAGTTCAATAACGTTCTTTAGTAATTACAATAAAACGTTCACTCATAACCTATTCAAAATTATAGAATGGAATGTCCCTCTAACATTCACACACTGTAAAAATGAACATGCTTTATCTAATCAAAAAAATGTGGCAACAAGCAATATTATTAATTAAATGTAACAAATTAGAATTGAGTAATAATTAATCAAATTATTTCCTTAAAAGTTAACCATTTAAAATTAGTAAAACTTACAAGAACAACAACAAAAAACCATAAACTGAAGTCACCATTGTGGTGATCAGTGTTTGTTTTAGGTTTGTTTTAAAATGATGGTTTTCTCCTTCAGTGATTCTGCTTGTTAACATCAGGTGTCTTCAATGTTGGCAATATAAAATAAAGAGTTCTTAATAAATCTTTGACGTCTGTCTGTTAGTGAGATATTTTTGTTAATTTTTTTGGTGTAAACTTTACTCATTTTATATGGTTAACTTTTAAGGAATAATTTGATTAATTATTACTCAATTCTAGTTTATTAAATTTAATTAATAATATTTCTTTTAATCTGTTGCCACAATTCTATTGATTAGATAAAGCATATTCATTTTTACAGTGCATAACCAAGAAGAGATGTTCTAAATACATTTAAACATTTGCGTTTTGAAGTTATATTTTTATATTTAGCTGAGTAGCATAGCAAATTTTCTATTTAAATTGGAGAACACAGACGTATAGTACGTATATATACCTCCATCGTGGTACCACAGGTGTTGAGGGACACCATGCCCAGGATATGGGTGTCATTGGAAGTAAGAGAGCAGGTAGGGTCTCTCAGTTGGAGCCAGTTTTGATCAATCCCCTTCATGGAGGCTTTGCTTATTGCAATGCTGATACTGTTTTCTTCACAGAAGACCTCCGCTTCACCTTGAGGGATATGATACATTTATTAATTGATCTAAAATGACAACAACAAAAATTGTAAGATATTATCAATGCACTAACAATGCTTCTAAAAATGTGAAAATAATTTGTTAAAGGTACAATATGCAGGATTTTTGCAGTAAAATATCCCAAAACCACTAGGACAATGTTATACATTTTGTTTAGTTGATTACTTACAATATCGCCAATGTTTCCAACTATTTGTAAATCGTGAGAAAATTGCAATTTTAATCAAGGAAACGGGGCGTCTGAGCAGGGGTGAAGAGTCGCCAGTCAATGGCGTCATATCTGTGTTAGCCTCGGTTTCTGCCATAGTAACCATGGCGACAGATGTGGACAACTGGTTTATGCTTAGCAAGGACGCTCACGCTGTTGTTGTTTTGTTCAAACATTATGGACCATGGCATGCAGACTTTGAGACAAAAAGAGGACTAAAACGAAGACCAACATCTTTCCAGATGCCGAGAGCTCCACGTCCGCGACTAACTTCGACTTGACAGAGACGAGAGTGTTGCATGTACTTTTTTAGACAGGTGAGCAAATGTACATTAAACTAATCAATTTTATTTAGTTTGCCATGATGAAATGTTAGAATATGATCTGTATGTACTAGCTTACTGCTAGTCTCATATAGCCAACAAACAACCTAACTAACAACATTCAACACTCAAATGCTGTTTAGTGTGATAGTGAAACTGTTAGAGCAAGTGAAACAGCGCTACATTACCTCAAGTTTAATTTGTCTAATAAGCTGAGTATTAATTGAGCATTTGCGTGTAGTTCGGTAGAATGAAATGTCCTTATTCCTCAATATCCGCAGAACTCGCGTTGCGTGTGACGCTTATATCTGTCTCTCATTAGCAACCACACCCTGCTTCACACCAGTCATGTTAAAACATCAAAGTATTCACTCGTCCATTAAAGATCCATCAGCTTGATGACAAGATCCATAATTCCACTCAATGCTTTGCGTCATCGATATACGCCTTTGTTATTGTAAGAGATTAGCGACCCCTGGTGGTGAAAAATCCTACATATTGTACCTTTAAATTCATATCATACACAGTCACGCTGCTGTAAGTATGTACAGTAAGATTATTCTGCTGTTGCATGATACATAAAGTACCATAGCAGATCTAAGCAGGTGGAGCTGGGGAAGGTGGTTTCAGATCGTACGTGCAGGACTAGCCTACGGCAAACACTAAACCAGACTATTCAATTGTTGAGCAAGCAATCTCAATCTCATTGCAGCAGAGGCCAATCAGCGTGTGCCATGTAGTAAATATGATTGCAAGCAAAAATAAAAACTGTTAACAGTTGTTCATTTTTAGAGTTTACAGTTTGTTTTTGTATTGTGAAATATCTAGATCAGTCATAAAACTCTAGATGGTGCAGGCTGCATGTGAAGGACATATCAGCACCATCTAGAGTTTCATGACTGATCGAGATATTTCACAAAACAAAAACAACTGTCAACAGATTTATTCGTTATGACATTTATGAAATCTTTTTTACCTGAGAGAACCCTCGATTTTGCCACAATGATCACAATGCACCTCATCTCTGACTGACTAGTTATGGAGAGAAAGACGAATGACAGATCAAGGAACAAAATCTAATCCTGAATTCTCAGTGAGCTTATTATGAACAGACCTCATTTTACCTCTGAAGTGTGTCTGCAGTGAAACACACGGGTACATGATGATGCAGGTCAGATTCCTGTGGTGTCCATGTGAGCATTGCCTCTGTAACCCCTTGACTTGCATTCCTCAAGCTCTTTGACATGTTCCATGGACCACTGACCTGGAAGTCTAAGATACTATACAACAGTGATTGAAAGATTAGATAACGTTTACTCAAATAACTAAGCATTACTAAGCATGAGATACTAAGCATTTCAACAACTCCACATACTGCATATTTGATCAGGCCTGGTTCCAGAAACAAATCACTGAGTGTGCTTCTGAATTTAGGGAGGGTGCAAAGCACAGATATGAGTAAGCAACGCCTCCTAAGCACCACCACAACCCAAATAGCAATGTAGCTACTGTGAGAGTATTTCAGTAAGACAGTAATAATGTGAGTTAGCCAGTTAGCAGGAGACCTACTCGATATAAACTCAAAACTAAGTATTTTGAACACCATCGTTCAAAAGCAAGTGGTTTGCTAATCCTACATTTAACTCAGAGATTCGAGAAGCAGTCATCAGTAAAATAAAGCGAACGCAGCAAAAGTATCCACAAGTTGTCTACGCCCCATGAGGCCTTGCGTCAAAAGTGGGCGCGACTTCTGGTTCGAAGTAAAGAAAGCGCGACTTGACATGCTTGACTCTCGTTCATTCAACAGTTGACAGTCATTTAAGTTATAGCGATCCAAACTAACGATGTGGGAACACAACCTCTATGAAATTACCATGGGTGAAATAACAGTACCTTTACCCTCCGCAGTCGTTGATTGGGAGTATTATAATAACATTATTAATAATCAATACTCATCAAGGCATGGTGACAGACAGTTGTGCGAGCTGACAAACAATTAAAATGAAAAATACACACTTAGTCATTGTGCTTTGGAGTTTATTCAAAATTATAAATGAATGTGCTGCTTGAATACATTAACTGGCACATATTCTGTCAACTCAGGCTTTGATCCTGAGTTTAGGTGTAACATCAGTAGCGAACAGCCAATCACATGCTGATAGAGTTTATAGAATATTAAGAATCTAAACTAATGTACACAGGAATATTCGTCGTCTTTTGGGAGGTGATGGAAACTAACGTTACAGTCTGATTTCGTTTCCAGCATATTCAAAACAATCACGTTTAAGCCACTGAATTAGTTTAGTCCGGTTATACATACAACTGCGAACAGCACCTGAGCTCCGTAACGACATCTCTCATAAAGATTTGCGTCTTTAAATATTAAAATAATTCTCCGAAAAACAGCTAGCCTCTTCGCTAACTAACACACAAAATACTATTGGAATGCTACTTCCGCCGCCTCACTGGAAGTTTCACCCACTTTATTTTTTACAGGAGCGCCCCTCGGAAACTTTATAATGCAGTGGTATCGTGGTCATGAAGGGTCTACACAAAACTACATGAAAGGTCATTTTCAAAAATCCATAATAGGGACAATCTAAGAGCTCAACAGATATGTCTGTGATTGGCTACATTGCTCAGCGCTGCAAAAACATATTGTAAATAGAAACCTTCAATGTTGTCCAGAGCACAAACACAAATAAGCAATGGAGTGTTTGCCAAATCTGTTTCACCAATATGAGATTTTTGCCCTATAGCCCAATAGAACCGGGCCTGCATCTGATGGATCTTCTGGATTTATACAAAAATTGCATATTTTAGCAGAGTGAAATTTGGGCCTGTTCAGGAAAGTTGTAGCAGATTTTTTTTTTTTTTTTTCAATTTTTGGACAATGCACATTTCAGACCTGTTGCCCAAGCTCTGGGCACGGAGGGTGATAATGTGATCACGTCCCACAGCTGCATGTTGTACATCTCCATGTAAGGGAGTTGGTGTCAGTAAACTTGGCCTGTTCACCCCTGGTACACAACTGTGGACTGGTGTAAGGACTACAAAACAGTGGAAACAGGGTAGAATGATTTAAATGCACAGAACTACAGTGAGTTGAAGCAACACAATACATGAAAGCTACTGCTAAAGCCTTGTTCATACAGTACTAGTCTTTGACAGCAAATGAAACTTGTTCTAGTTTGTATTTTATCACATGTTTCTAGAATCCAGCAGTGCCCACTAAAAGAGTTTTGTTGGTTCTGGAAGTTTTTTCCTCATTCAAATCTCCCATAGGGATTTTAGTCATTATTAAAGCATTATCAGCCATGAATATGAACTTTACGAACTTTGATGTGAAGCCAAAAAAGTGTTTGAAAATCTTAGAAAAATACAAAAGTAGATGGCTGTGTACTTATGTCTTTAGTGATAGTAAGAACTACAATCCCATGATGCACTGCGAACAGCATAATCGACTAATCGAGAAATATAAAACTACTAATTTGTTTAAATGTTAATATATATATTTAAAAACAATATTAAGTTTATTACAAAATATGTACATGTATACTATTTTAGTATTTTGAGATCATAAGGAGACAAACTTGATTTATTATGTCACTAACTCAAGTTTCCATCTCATAATAGAACAGTGACTGAACTATCTGCGCATAAACAGCTTTAATTAACAACTTCCAGCCAATCAGAATCGAGTATTCAGAGAAACCATGGAATAAAGCTTTAAATAAAGTGTCACCAGTGTGGTTTCTAGAACTGAAAAAATAATGTAAATATTTGTTAAAGTTAAAAAAATATATATATCAGGTTGAAATTGAGTAAAATAATTATTTACTGGTATGTTTTTTGGTAACACTTTAATACGGTTCATTCGTTAATGAATAACTACAGAAGAACCAACAGTGTCAGAAAAAATGTACAAAAGCTGTCACTCTTTTGTACCTAAAGGGTGCATATTGGTACCAATATGCACCCTTTAGGTACAAAAGTGTACCTTTTGAAAAGGTACCGCCCCAGTGACAGCTTTTGTACCTTTTTTTCTGAGAGTGAATGAGTAACACAATATTAACAATCTAGTTACTATTATTAACTAAAAAGAAACTCTGATTATAAATTAGTGAGTAATAGTGCACAGATGAAAGTGTTACTAGATACTTCTGTGGGAATTACTAATTATTTGGATTCGTAGTATAAAGTCATTGGAGCGAGTAATGACTCAAGTGTTACTGCATGATGTAGACGTGATTTGTGCAACCAAACACTAAAGTTATTTTGAGCGTTTGAGATTTTTGGGGAACTTTAGTACACTTTTAGAAAATGTCTTTAGTGACACTTGAGTCATTACTAGTTAGTTTCCATGGTCTTCACTTTATAATACGGATCCAAATAATTAGTAATTCCAACAGAAGTATGTAGTAACCCGTTCATCTGCGCACTATTACTTACTAGTGCCTTAATCAGAGTTTTTTTTTTTTTAGTTAATAATAGTTACTAGATTGTTAATAAACTTTTTTAGTAGTTCTCTAGGAAGTATTGAAAAAATAGTAGTTATTGATTAGCTAGTGATCTACCACTTTCATCTGTGTGCTATTACTTACTAGTTTGTTAATCAGCGTTTCTTGTTAGTTAATAATAGTAACTAGGTTAATTTTGCGTTACTTATTGGTTCTAGTGTAGTTATTCATTAACGAAGGAACCGTATTCTAAAGTGTTACCTGCTTTTTTCCAATTCTGAATCCTTATCCAGTTAATCACAAACAACTAGAGGTGTAAATGCGTTGTTTAAGAGTTGAAACTTTGAAAAACATTCAGCTCTTAAAACTTCTGGTATCTTGAAACGTAATTTAGGAGTGTGTCACTTTCTGGATTTTGAAATGTGTTGTGGAAAATGGATTAAAAAAGGTTGAGAACCACTGATCTACATTATTCTCACTCACTTTCAACTCCAAACTGCAGAGGCACTTGACTGAGAGGAGTTGAGTCAGTGTTGGCGGTCTGATTATAAGGATTTCTGGCAGACGAGATCCCATTCTGTTTTGTCAAAGTGACCTTTGATACAGGATAGTCCTCCAATGTGAACTCAAAAACATGAAGTCCCAAGTCCACTGTACCATTACTGCTCAGAGTGCACGAGTCCTAGACAGAAAAATAATAGCACCATTTGTGCATTGAAATGTAACATTTAAACTGTAAAACTGTAAAGAAAAAGAAAAAAAAGTGTCAAACATGGAAAAATAAACAAAACTATGAGACATTGGAAATATGATTTTCTAGCGCCCTGGGAAGCAATAATGGTCACTCACGGCTGATCACGCATCACACAAATACTGAACAGTGTCAGTATTATGTTATTTCCTGATGTGGGTAAATGCTAAAGATTAAGTTTATTTATAGATAACATGTTCTACATTCCTGTAGATGTTAAAGCATATTAACTGATACACCAGATAAAAGATTAGCTAAAATGGTTCACAGATCTGTTCTTATAGTGTTTTATTTTTTATTTGGCATAGACTTTAGTCAGGTTATGCCGAGTTCAGACTGCATGATTTTAGCCACGATTTTGGCTCGCCGACATGTTTTGAGAAATCGCCGACAAATGCCCGAAATCACAGGCAAATCGGCGCTCGTTTACGCGAGTGACAATCACGCAGTGTGAATGAACAAAGACGCGAACTGAGAGAATCACCGACGAGTCGCCGACGCCCGTAAGATATTTGGCATGCTAAATATCTGGACCTGTCGGCGATTCAAAATCCTGCTGTGTGAAAAGTGTTTTGACTGAAAACTACATCGGCGATCACCGGCAGCCAGTGAGAGAGCAAGATACAGAGCAGCAGGGAGTTCGGGGAGGAGTTATAGATCACATATCAACATGATATGGCATTGTTTCAACAAAAAAGCTTCTTCTCGGTCTATTTGGACACAATAAATGGAAGAAAAATTAGTAGAAATTTGGCAGGAGCACTCGTGTCTGTTTCACCATCTGTACCACAACCGGGTTGAAAAAAAAAGTCTCACGTGAGAACTCCGGTCTTGCACGTGTGGTGTCGCGCGTTGTTTCCTTTTCATATCTCACGCGTGTTTGTTGTGAAATGTAGTTTGCGTGCAGCGTGCTAGACAGAGTCTGTCGGCGATTTTTCTAAAGTCATGCAGTGTGAAACCTTCTGTCGCCGATCCATCGTCCAGTGTGAACACAGCAGCGACTGAATGCTGGCCAAGATAGTCATGCAGTGTGAAAAGAGCAGCGACCTGACTACTTTGAAAATCGTGCAGTCTGAAAGAGCCATAAGTCGCCATATTGAATTTAACACAGATGAGTGAGGCTGTGAGGGCTAGATGTACTCTTTACAATGGCACGCACTGTATGAAACATCTTTCAGGAAAATACTTTCAGTTGTACTTTATAAAGTCTCGATTTCTGTTGAGAGATTCAGATGGTAGAGTCAGAATTTGGCGTAAACAGAATGAGATCATGGACCCATCATGCCTTGTTACCACTGTGCAGGCTGGTGGTGGTGGTGTAATGGTGTGGGGAATGTTTTCTTGGCACACTTTAGGCCCCTTAGTGCCAAATGGGCATCGTTTAAATGCCACGGCCTACCTGAGCATTGTCTCTGACCATGTCCATCCCTTTATGGCCACCATGTCCCCATCCTCTGATGGCTACTTCCAGCAGGATAATGCACCATGTCACAAAGCTCGAATCTTTTCAAATTGGTTTCTTGAACATGTCAGTGAGTTGACTGTACTAAAATGGCCCCCACAGTCACCAGATCTCAACCCAATAGAGCATCTTTGGGATGTGGTGGAACGGGAGCTTCGTGCCCTGGATGTTCATCCCACAAATCTCCATCAACTGCAAGATGCTATCCTATCAATATGAGCCAACATTTCTAAAGAATGCTTTCAGCACCTTGTTGAATCAAACGGCTCCTCCATTATGACATGCAGGCCCTGCTCCCTGCAAAGTTCCCACTCGGATTGAGTAGGGCACTTCCGATGGGAATTCGCCCACTGTATTCTATTAACCACAGCTTTGTTTTTATTCCTGTCAAAAGTAAATATAGTGCTACCCTAGCTAAGGTCTATTTACATGTAGCAGAAAGACTGGCAAGAAAGTTATTAATTCAATGGATGCTTGTAATCTATACTTGTCAACATTTAATGAAATTGTAATATTTTTTACATTCAACATTTCTGTCATCCGCAGTCCTGAAATCAGCTTCTTTAAATTACCAAGGTGCATTTGCCTGTTTAATCTAAACTTGTAATGGGAGTGTATCATTCTAAAATGTTACCTCATCAAGATTTATGTTTGGGTGTTGATTGCAAGATGGGCACATGCATCTCACATGATCTCCATCTGGGTCATGGGCCAGCAGGTGAAGACGCTGAAAACAGTTCTGAGGAACCCTGAGGAAAGACCATGAAATAAAACGTTGAAATTAGGGCGATTAATCAAACGATTCATCACGATTAATCGCATTCAAAATAAAAGTTTGTGTTTACATAATATATGTGGGTGCACTGTGAATAATTATTTTGTATATATATATATACACACACATGCTTGTATATTTAGGAAAAAAAATATTATTTATATATAAAATATTTATATTTGTATATAATATAAATTATATATAAATCTATATACAGTCAACCCGGTCTCATCCCAAGACGTCATATAACTGACGTTTTGGGACGTCTTTTGACCATACGTCAATATTCGCCTTTTTAGGGCCCCCTTAAACGTCGGTAGATGAGGTTATCCTAACTCTACCCCAGACCTAAACCTAACCCTAAACCTAACCCGTCACCTAACTGACGTTAAAGGTAAAGCGTCAGTTGTATGACGGCCCGGGATCGCCATCTACCGACGTTTAAGGGGGCCCTAAAAAGGCGGATATTGACGTATGGTCAAAATACGTCCCAAAACGTCAGTTATATGACTTTTTGGGATGACACTGTGTTAATACAGTATATCCATGAACATATTTCTTAAATATATACAAGCATGTGTGTGTATTTAAATATATAAAATAATTATACACAGTGCAACCAAATATATTATTTAAACATAAACTTTTATTTTGGATGCGATTAATCAGCCATAGTTGAAATACATTTTATAGTTTGGTGGTCACAAACACATTTGATCTTCAGGTTAGCAGTAGAACACACAGAATCAAGTTTTCAAGAAAGCTGTAGGACAGGTCTATAGATAAAATGTATTTTAAAAGCACAAACCTTATGTTTGGTATTGTTGCAGAAACAGGGGACCTGTTTGCAGTCTTAGTGTCTGAACGTAGTCTTGTGTCAACGAGGCTATGAAGCGTAAATTCACGGACATCACGAACATTATTTTCCCAGCAGCAACCAGAGTCACTAAAGAGAGTTTTAATAATAAAATGGTCAATCTTTATTCTTACTTTAGTCTGTACTTCTACTTAAGTACAACACATTTTAGTACTCTTTCCTACTTGTTGATGAATGATACTTAACTGTATGTTGATTTTAGATACAATAATGTTTAAGATTATTTTGTGAAAACAATATTACATTCCTGAAAAGATCTTATTTAATTAGTAAAATCCCTGAAATATCATAATAAAAATAATTGACATATGATGTTCAATGCTTGAAGAAGGTCTGGATTCATTGAAAACATAAAACTTATTAAGTACTCTTGGTAAAAGTATGCAAAAGTCTATTTTTTACTATTATTCTATTGATCTTACCTCAGAAAGAAGGGCTCGTCACCAGTGACATTGGTGGTCATGTGACGCTCATACTGGCACCAGAGGATCTGACCCGAATGGTCCTGATCCGTCACCTCAGCCTCTGAGAATGTGAGAAGGCCACAGTCGCCACTATCACAGGTCCATGCGACTTGAGGATCACAGGGCAGTTTACCAGACTCTCTGTAGTAAAAGTGCATCTGCCAGGAATATATACAACAGATATCTTTTTTTTTAACAACGTGCAAGATATTGTAAAGAATGCTTTCAAAGATTGGACCCCATTGACTTTCACTTTATGAAAAAATAAAAAATCACCATAAAGAGAATCATGCAAGTTCGGAATTAAATGAGGGTGAGTTTCTTAGTTGTTTAATTTCAAATAAAATAACAGAAATAGAGAAATAGCCTGTTAAAAACATGCTGTGTTGTTTAAACCCAAAGTTGGGTCAAAGATGGACAAACCCAACTATTGGGTTAAACATTTAAATATAAGACTAAACCCAGCGACTGGTTTTGTCCAAATTTGACCCAACTTTGTCTTGAAACAATCCAGCATTTTTTAGAGCATCTTTAAAATAACCAACCTTAATATGAATTCTAAAATATTCATGTGAAATCTTTGCTCAAAAAGAGGGGTGACAATAACAGATTAAAGAGATATGAATGTATGGTAACACTTTACAATATGGGTGCACTAATCAATATACATTAATTCATATGCACAGATAATACTGAGTTAATATATAGCCTAACTCATGAAGAACTAAACCATTAATTAATGATTACTGCATCAGCAACTAATAAAGAGTCTATATGATTAATAGATTAAATAATACATGAATTGCTATTAATTCAATGTGTCATTGTGTATTAATTCCTTAATAACATATTTTATTAACTAATAGTGTAAATTAATGTGTTAATTACCACAATTAGTCAAAGCTATGCACTTCAACTTCCAGTTGTCTGCTTTAATTAATCATTAGCTAATGATTTGCAAAGGTATCATTATGTTATGACTTTACTTGTGGGGGCACATCATGTGTATGTAGTAATTTGCACATGAATTTGCACTAACAATGAAGTAATTAATCATGTATTAATGCATATTAGTGAACCTGTCATATTATCTGGAAGTTGAAATACAAGGCTTTGGCTCATTCTGGTAATTAACATAATTAATTAACACTATTAGTTAAAAAAATAGTTATTATGGATTTAATCCACAATTACATATTTAATTAATAACAATTTGTGAATGAACTAATACATTAACCATACAGACTCTTAATTAGTTTCTAATGTGGTGTAATCATTAATAAAAAGCTTAAATAATCATTAGTTACACATTAATTCAGTATTATCTGTGCATTAGTTAAGCATTAATGCTTATTAGTGCACCCGTATTGTAAAGTGTTATCGAATGTATTATTCTGGACTTACCTCCACTGCTCCACCTGGGTAAATGTTTCCAGGCATGAAGGTAATCGATCCCCCATAGAAATGGACGGCTCGACCCACAGAAATGGTCAAGCTGATCAGCAGCAGTAGCGCAGCGTGTGCCATAGCGTTTGATGAAATGACACTGTGAGTAATGCGGTAAACTACCGTACATGGACTATAGTTTGACTGGTTCTGCCATCTGAAAACAGGCACATGAAGAATGTTTCTGATCTTTCTGATGAAACCCAAAATACACGGATATCAGCTTTCAGTTGTTGTTTCCTTGTGTGTGTCTGTGTGTATTGTGCAAATGCTACTGATTAACATGGACAACATGTTCTAGCTACATACCTGCAGAAATTGAAACATAGTTAGTGATTTACCAGATAGAAAGTACAAATCAACCTTTAAAAATCTCAAATCAATAAAGAGGTTAATAAAAAAAAAAATCTTGTATTGTAAAAATTGTAGAAACAAATATATATATAAATTAATTATATATGTATATATGTTAATTACTATTGAACAAAAGTAGGCTATATTTGATTGATTTTAATGGGGAAAAAGTTACATTTGAGGTGCCCTTGAATATGAATGTATTAATGAGAGTAAGTTAACGTAAACGGTATATTTTTGGGTGAACTATCCCTTTAAAGTTTAAACAGTGAGGGGTTTGATCTAAATGTCCACTAGATGGCTGCAGATCCATTTGCCACTCAACAAGATTAGGCAATTGGCGGATGTTTATTATCTTCATTATCCATTCACATCATGTAATATGATATTTGTGTTCAGGAAGAAAAGAGTAAAAGACTTTGTATATCTTGCTGTGGCTTGTCTGCCTGTTAGAGTGATGTGTGGGAGTAATTCTCAGGTCTTGTAAAGTGAAGGTTAAGACGTCACTGGTAGACTTCACAACATGAACACAAAGAGAAGCCTTTGAAGATAAGTTGTAGTACTGTATTTATTATAATGTTTCAAATAATCCTAGGATTTTGCAAGTAATGTCTTGACTCTTGTCCTTATGTGGATGCATAGGCTTTGTAAAATATGTTCTCAATACAAGGGGGGCCTGGCACAAAAGGTTTGGGAACCACTGATACAGACTCATAAGATTAAGGGATCTGAGGATGGTATAAGTTTGTTTTTTGTCTTGCTTGTAGTTTTTTTGGTGGCTTTTTATTTGGAAGGTATTGTTTCAGGTCATTGTTATGCCATTGTTATTACTACAGTTGCTTGTGTATTTAAATGTCTCTTCTCCTAATTGTGTAGCTGTGCGCATGACAACATAAAAATGGTGACAACATAAAAAATGCCATGAATGGTGTCTAACACCTCCCAATTTATCCACAGCCAAATCCTTGTGGAAACACCTGGAGAGCCGATCAAGTTTGGGGTCCCCAAAGGGTCTTGGAGAAAATGATGATTTATTTTTTATTTTATTTTACTATTATTAGCTTTTGAGATGTCTAACTAGGTTTTTTAGGGGTGCTGAATCTATCCCAGCCATTTGTTTTTAATAAAAATGACTCCAAGTCCATTCAAAAATCCATAAAAAGTGGTTGTTGAAGATATCAAATCTTAAAGGGATACTCCATTTTTTTGGGGGAATAGGCTCATTTTACCACTCCCCCAGAGTTAAACAGTCGAGTTTTACCGTTTTAGAGTCCATTCAGCCGATTTTCTGATATTTAGAAGAATATCAGTAACCAGACAGTTTCTGGTCTCATTGACTTCCATAGTAGGAAAAAAAATATATAATATATTCTATATAGAACCTCTTGCTTTGTGAGATGAATATACGATTTTTCATAATAACTTTCATCTTTAGAAAACAAAAAGATATTAAATTAAAGATCTGTGTGGTTCTAGAGGGCCGGACTATTCATGACTTTTGCATTTTTCACGTGTTGTCCAGATGATGTCAGTGTTGCTGTCGTAATGCTTTTTTTAGATGCATTTCGAAAGATCAACTTGATCAACATAATTAAGTAAATCGAGTTTGACTCCTTTTACTGTACATAGAGAACAATTTATTCTTTATAATGACACTTACAATCCTTCATTATTTTATAATTTATAACTTTTTTCCTTTTAGGCTACATACATCATTTTATTATACAGTAGGCTATTTACACTTATTCACAGTGATATGAATATGCACGAAGGACACTGCTTGACTCATACAGAGCTCATAAATCTGAAGAAGACATACAATCTCATAACTGGATGCAAAAGTCTGATCGACACTCACTGAAATACACTACACAGCCCCTAAATGACAAAACACACTCTTATCTAGGTTATTGTATGGAAGGGAAGAGTCTGAAGTGTGTCTAATTTGTGGTCCTGTTTGCCTCTTTGTTACTATATGTATCAATCAATCAATCAAATTTATTTATAGAGCACTTTCAAATCCAAAGTGGACACAAAGTGCACTTCACTAAAACAATAAAAAATATATAAAAACTCACACGACCCATAAAAAACAATAACAACCATAAAATGAATAAAATCAATATAACCAAACCTGAATTGTCAATTTCAGTTATCAAAGGCCAAAGAATAGAGGTGTGTTTCAAGAAGAGACTTAAAAACAGACACTGAAGAAGCCTGCCAATGTGCAGAGGTCCTTTTGAAGTATAAGGAATGATCTAACTTTTGTATAAACATTTTTTAATAAAGCCATGAATATAAGCGGAAGTGAAGTGTGCCTTTTGGAAACATAAATCTGTGCCACGCGAGCACACCATAAATGTGACCGTAAATGTATAAAGTTGTTTTTTTTTTTAGAAATGTTTAGGCATGAGCTATTTTTTCAGCAGACACTTTGCATAGTATTGTTACTTTAATACCCATCTCTAGGGTAAGCATTACCTTTGGAGTATATCTGACGATGACTCGTTGGTTTAAACAAATGAGACATGTAGATTCCAGAGACATTTTCAAGGCCTTATTGGGCATGGTGTGACTGCACACGCTTTTACAGTGAGTTAGTAATACTGAGGGTAAAAAAGTGTTGGATTATGGAATATAGAGCATATTCAGCCTATCGAGTTATATATTTATGAATGTAATTCAATTGTGGGTGAAAATACCAATAATATCCTTATAATCCTGCTGTGGAGGTTCTGGCATTCGGATATTACAGGAAATCCGACCGAGACACTTTGACCCACTTTCCTCTCAGCTGAGTCGACTGCAGCTGTTAAACATACCAAAGTAAGTCCTCTAAACCACTGCGTCCACACACAGCTGCACTGACCCGGCCAATAACCATTTCACGTTTCAAAATATCACGCACATGGACCTTTTTATGTTGTGTAGGGACTGTATCACTCCACTGGCCTTGCTAGCAAGCTAAAAGTGTGGGGGACGAGGAGAGGCACATATTGTAAAAATGTAAAATATAAATAAATCACTTTACAAACTGACAATAAAATGCATGTATACAATACAATTGTGCAATTGTACTTTTTCATAAGTTTAATAAAAATAGTATCTAGTAACCCTCTGGGTCCTGGCTCTGACATTTGTGCTTTTTTCTGTTACTTGTGACATTTTCATGGCTAAAGTATTATTACAATGTATTCAGCACAAACTCTGCTACAATAATATGTCAGCAGCATGTATGTACAAATTTGTAGTTTTGAGATAATGATGTTTATGCGTGGTTTGGTTTGTGAAAAAAAAAATGTCACTGAAATAAGGTCATATAACCCATACTGATTATCTCTTCACAAGAAAATTGAATCACATAGCCTAGAGAATATTCATTCAGATAAGACAATAAAGTTGTAAAAGTAGGAAGACACCTGATGTTAACAAGCAGAATCACTGAAGGAGAAAACCGTCATTTCAAAACAAACACTGATCACCATAATGGTGACTTAAATTTATAATTTTTTGGTTGTTATTGTAAGTTTTACTCATTTTAAATGGTTAACTTTTAAGGAATTAATTTGATTAATTATTACTCAATACTAATTTGTTAAATTTAATTAATAATATTGCTTGTAATCTGTTGCCACAATTTTTTTTTTTTGATTAGATAAAGCATATCCATTTTTACAGTGTTTAGATAAAGCCAGAATTAAATCTTGGTTTAGTTAGGACATTTAATAGCTTTTATAAACGTGACTTAGAAAAAAAGATGGGCATCTTTATTTATTTTAAGATATATCAGTGCAAGTTGCTTTCAGTTAAAACAGCTCAAACATGCATTTTAGACTAGACTTGTGAAACCGAGGGGGAAGTTAATTAATTTTACTCAGTACTTTAATGTGTTATTACTAATGAGACCTTAAAATAAAGCCCCTGTCTGTTCATTTATTAAAAAATGTATTTAAAATATTGAACACTTTCAATGGCATGTTAACTTTACACAATCATTTAGCAAACATAAAGTGCAAAAATGTAAATTAATCATTTGAAAATAAAAATAAAGCCCTTTTCAAAATGAAGTAAAAATTGTAAGCAATTACATTTGCATTTATAAAATATAATACATAATTAAATAGTTAAAAATCAATTCGCCATTTATGGAGGACTCATTTATTAAGCAATTGCTTTTTGTGTTTTCCATATGGCTTCCCGACTTTTTCAGTGTATGCTCAGTGTGCCAATGACTAATAGTTTGGAGCAATGAACAGTCTCCCGTAAGAGATTAGTTTTACATTTAGAAATGGGAAAAGCTGCTATGACAGAATTTGATACATGATTTCCAGCCGAAAGCCCTTTGTGTTTGTTCATGCTGTGGCTCTAAACAGTGGTGTCGACTCTATTGTTAGCTTCATGCTGCTAAGTGTAGAAGGGCTTGCTCAGCAGCTGTTGAGAATAATAGAAGATCGACTGAGCAGGATTTGCGTCCACGGCTGGAACAAGAGCCTTTGTGTTACGGACATGAAAGCCTGTGTTATTCAGAATGACTGGCTTTAACCTCACCTATCCTACAGGATTTCAGTTCAAGTTGAACTTGAGGCACATACACGTCAAATCTCTCGGACTATACACCTTTTTCCTAACGAGGCACTTTCGATTTCACCAAAGAAGACTTTAGAATCCACTCAAAAGCATTAAACGAAATCATTTCAAATCATAAGGTAGCACTGCAAATAATCCTCATCCGTCTCAGTCGGCTTGGCTGAATTTTCAGACGTCAGAAGAATAATGTTATGCTTGGTATTTTAATTTAAAATGAGTTTTTGGTATGTTTTATCTTACCTCAAGGGCATCCTAGATGTAGGTGTCTTTGTTTCCACAGTATTTTCAATTTTGATAATTTTAGGTCAAACCGTTCTTGTCTGTCAGTCATATAATGGAGGTCTATGGTCACCACCTCAAAGAGCATGCACAGAGAAGTCCAAATTAAACATGACTTAATGACTCGTAAATGTAAGTACACATTGATGGCCTAAGACACGAAACGAGCGTTTTGTGTGAGAAAACGAACAGTATTTATATCGTTTTTACCTCTTGTAACCACAGCCACGTCCAAGTGATCTGAGGCCGCGGCCACTTCGGTCTGTGCAAGCGCCGGAAGTTTTCTCACACAAACCGCTCGTTTCGTGTCTCAGGCCATCAATGTGTACTTACATTACGAGTCATTAAATCATGTTTAATTTGGACTTCTCTGTGCATGCTCTTTGAGGTGGTGACCATAGACCTCCATTATATGACTGACAGACAAGAACGGTTTGACCTAAAATTATCAAAATTGAAAATACTGTGGAAACAAAGACACCTACATCTTGGATGCCCTTGAGGTAAGCTAAAACAAACCAAAAATTAATTTCAAAGTGAACTATCCCTTTAATATTATATTATCTGCAAGTACAGTTTTTTTTAAATATACTTAAAAGTACACTAAAAGTGCACAATACAATAAAACGCACTTTTTTTTACAAGGGAAATGTAAATTATTAACTTTTTTTTAGTACATGGAGTAGTTATTTGATTTAAACCATTTAATACTTAGTAAGCACTATTAATAAATAATTCAAGTCCAAGTGTAGTAAAAAAAACAAAAATATTCTCTGAGACAGTACAATGTATATGGTCCTCAAAATGCATTTATTGCAAACACGCTTTGACTCCATTTATTCACATTCAAAACGTAAAAATCGCAGCTTAAACCGACACAAAAAACGGCATCCGCTGTTCACTCGTTCACCTCTTCCTCGTCATCCTCAAATGCTTCCTCGCCGTCATTGGCCGTAGCCTCCTGGTACTGCTGATACTCCGACACAAGGTCGTTCATGTTGCTCTCGGCCTCGGTGAACTCCATCTCATCCATCCCCTCTCCGGTGAACCAATGCAGGAAGGCCTTGCGTTTAAACATGGCCGAAAACTGCTCGGAAATGCGCTTGAAGAGCTCCTGGATGGCCGTGCTGTTGCCGATAAAGGTGGAGGCCATCTTAAGTCCTCTGGGTGGAATGTCACACACCGCGACTTTAACGTTGTTGGGGATCCACTCTACGAAATAGCTGCTGTTCTTGTTCTGAATGGCCAACATCTGCTCGTCGACTTCCTTCATGGACATCGGCCCGCGGAAAACGGTAGCCACCGTGAGGTATCGCCCGTGCCGCGGGTCGCAGGCGGCCATCATGTTCTTGGCGTCGAACATCTGCTGTGTGAGTTCAGGCACCGTGAGCGCGCGATACTGCTGACTTCCTCGCGCGGTCAGCGGCGCGAATCCGGGCATGAAGAAGTGAAGGCGAGGGAACGGCACCATGTTTACCGCTAGCTTGCGCAAGTCTGCGTTCAGTTGGCCGGGGAAGCGTAACGACGTGGTGACTCCACTCATAGTGGCAGACACTAAGTGATTGAGGTCCCCGTACGTGGGCGTGGTGAGTTTCAGCGTGCGGAAGCAGATGTCGTACAGCGCCTCGTTGTCGATACAGTACGTTTCGTCTGTGTTTTCCACCAGCTGATGCACCGAGAGCGTGGCGTTGTACGGCTCCACCACCGTATCGGACACTTTCGGTGAAGGCATGACGCTGAAGGTGTTCATGATGCGGTCGGGATACTCCTCTCGGATCTTGCTGATCAGAAGCGTCCCCATTCCGGATCCGGTTCCTCCACCGAGGGAGTGTGTGAGCTGGAAGCCTTGCAGGCAGTCGCAATGCTCACACTCCTTCCTGACCACATCCAGGACTGAGTCCACCAGCTCGGCTCCTTCCGTGTAGTGGCCCTTGGCCCAGTTGTTTCCGGCACCGGTCTGTCCTGCAAAAGCAATACAATGAGAGATGATTGGTTGGGAACACTTTATTTCAAAAGTCCACTTCTGTAAGTAACTTTGCAACTACGGTCAATAGATATTAGACAACTAGTTCACTTTAAAAAAAAAAAACTTTTGCTGATAATTTACGCACCCCCATGTCATCCAAGATGTCCATGTCTTTCTTTCTTCAGTCAAAAAGAAATTAAAGTTTTTGATGAAAACATTCCAGGATTTTTTTCCATATAAAAAGGTTTAAAAGGTTCTATCAGCGCTACGTATTTGGAACCCCTAAAAGGTTCTATACACTCTTAAAAAAAGGGTTCCTCTGGGTTCTATATAGAACCCTGGGGTTCCATACTTGGCCAATAGAACCTAATACCAAAAAAAAAATGGTTCTATATAGAACCATTTTGGAGTTCCATATATGAAGCGGGGGATGGAACCATTTCTGGTTCTAACTAGAACCATTTCTTCTAAGAGTGTATGTTGTAAGAACATATAAAAACAGATGTTACAATTATGTGTTCTTTATAGCCTACAGTCTTTTGCTTAAAGACCTACAAAAAAAGAGAGAAAGTTTGGCATGTTGACACTGTACCAAAGATGAAGTTGTCTGGTCGAAAAAGCTGTCCAAACGCCCCAGAACGAACACTGTCCATAGTCCCAGGCTCCAGGTCTACCAGCACGGATCTGGGAACATACTTGTGAGCTAAACACACACACACACACGGCTATAAATCTTGTTTCCTGTAAAAGATATGCTGTGAAACTTTATCACTAAAATGAATTAAATGATTTAAAATTAATTGATAAAACAATGCACATTTTGCAAATGAATTCATATTGGTTTTATTCATGTATGTAAATCCTTTAATAAAACATTATGCTAGTGCAGTCAGAGCAGTCCAGGAAATTCCTCTGAGCTGACTACACTGTTCAAAGTTTAAGGTCACTGAGGGGGAGCAACAAGAGCACTGATTCATACTCGCTCGCACACTGATGCACATACTTACAGGACGCCTCGTTGTAGTACACATTAATTCTGTCAAGCTGCAGCCCTGAATCACCCACATAGTTGCCGGCTGGGTCAATGCCATGCTCGTCGCTGATGACTTCCCAGAACTAGATGCGACACAGTTGTTCGCGTTAGTTCAGATGTGATTTCAAAGCATGAGATTCAATGAGTGTGGAGATTCTTGGCATACTTGCGCACAGTAGGACACATCTTGCCACACCCACCCAAGGCAACTGATGTGGCCTTAAAATATAACGACCTGAGGCCTACCGTGACTCAAGCATTGATCGCATTAAAGTAGGCCTACACTAAATAGGACCAAAACAAAAATAAATGTAATCAGCAGTAGAGAGAGCGTCGTAGCTACTGTATATTCCAGATGCGAAGCATTTTAATGGGTTGTCAACAGTTTAGTTTGTTAAAGTTTTTAGTACACAAGAAATATCTAGAAAAAGAAATTCACGAAAAAGAACCGAATCTTAAAGAGATAATGTTAGTAATTATGTTTGGAAGTCAATGGGGCACATACATTTTCATTTTTGAGTGAATATATCCCTTTAGAAATCGGGAATCCCATTTTAATCACTGAAAATGAACGGAATCACACTGGTCGCGCAGTTTTGATTCACTGAAAATAATCGGATCATACGAGTCATTTGTTTAAGATTCGAACTTGTTTGCACTGCAGCTGTTTTGCATTCAATATATAATCAATTTTGCGCTGTAAAACTGTATATGAGAACTGTCATGAGCAGTGTTGGGTTACTCAAAAAAAAGTAATTAATTAGCCTACTAGCTAGCTACTAATTACCTCTTCAACAGATTACTGTACTAATTAGGCTACTCTCTCTAAAAATTATTTAATTACTTTTAATTACTTTCAAAATCCCATATCAATCTCAACCAGCTGAATAATATAAGGATAGACATGAATCTGTTATAATTCTTTCAAATAAACAAATCGCATGAATTATCCTTAAACAGACCAAGGTGGAGAAGGTTATAAAAACATACTTTTTAGCATCAGACAATACATTTTGATGTTAAACCCTATTGTTTTATGTCACAGATCTCACACTTTTTTCATATATATTTTACATTAAATTCATACGAATTTGAGTGCGGTCGTAATATTTAGACACCTCATTTAATGCATTCGAATCTCTGTGAGATCGGATTGATCTATACATTTACCTCGATTACATCAGAAGTAACTGTAATTAAATTACAGATAAATGAAGAGTAGCCTAATCCCTTAGGCTACTTTACATTTTCAAGGGAAAAGTAATTCAATTACAGTAACTAATTACTTAATTAGTTACACCCATAATTACTTAGTAGTTACACCCAACACTCATGAGTCATGACTGAAAATCATCAGCTTCGGGTACTTTTTTAAAGTTTCCCTAAATAAATGTGTCCCCCTAAGTTTCAGTTTCCATATGAAATCTAAATCAGTAGCAATTGTTTTTGAAAGGGCTAAATATAGTTTAAAACCGACAGTGTGATAGGAAAATAATATACATTTGATTTGACTAACCTTTGTCCCAATCTGATTGCCGCACTGTCCGGCTTGAATGTGAACGATTTCCCTCATTGTTGTGGTGTGTGTGAAGATGCTCCTCAGAATCTGAGCTCTGCTTGTCTCGACTGCAGGATGACTGTGAGTTCACTGACACACACGAGCCTCAGCTTTCACACGATTGGTCGGAATTTGAATGACACATCAGCTGCACAATCACACAAGTGTGCTGTCATTGCTCTCTTCTAGTCACAAATTATGCAATGCATTGCAAAATTACATATCATGCTACAATACAATACAATGTAATTCGTATTTCAAAAGAAAGTCTATTGTAGCCTACTTGTCTTTTTCCAGCAGTCTCTTAACATATTTATTACAAGTCTGATACATGTTCTCAAAAAATAAATAAATAAATAAATAAATAAATAAATAAATCTGAGGCATATGTTACCAATATTTCTGACAAAATCAATCTATAATCTGGTCACCCAGAAACAAATCGTGGAAGAAGGGTCACTATATATATATATATATATATATATATATATATGAAGAGTTCAGATGCAAAAGCCTCTAAATGCCATTTGAAATTTTCTTCTTTAATGATGATTTTTATCAAACTTGTATATTTAAGTTCAGTAATTTCACTTAAATAACAATTAATAGGTAATTATCATTGTCATTTAAGTGAAATTACTGAACTTAAATATACAAGCTTGATAAAAATGATCATTCTAGAAGAAAATTTCAAATGGCACTTAGAGGCTTTTGCATCTGAACTCTTCATATATATATATACACATATATATAAAATAGTGTTGATTTACCTTAAAAAATGAAGTAACCTGGTTGCCTTAAAACTTTAAGTTTGTTGAAATTGAAAAATTGAGTTAATACATTGAAGGAGATTGATTTAATAATCAGAAACTCAAAATATTATGTTATCTGAACCACATAAATTATCTAAATTGATTTGACAGAAGAAAAAACGTTATGATAACAAATCATGATTTTTATTTTTTTACAGTGTATGGAGCTCGAATTGAGAGAATAGATCTGAGAGAAAAAATGTCTTTTCACACTGAAAAAAAGAGAGATTTTATTTGTCAGAAATAATTTTAAATAATTTTTGTTCTGAGAAAATACTTTCTCTCAAAAGTTTTTTAGTGTCAAAAATTATTATTTCTTGCTATTGGTATGAAAACGTTTTCTCTCAAATATTTCTTTTCTCTTATGAAATGCTTTTTTGCTTTTTCTCTCAGATCATTTATTTTCTCACATGTAATAAAGACACAATCCAAGCTCCATAGTATGACACTTTTTGGAGTTTCTTTTTCAGATAAATCAGATAAAGTCCTTTTAAAATGCAGTCTCAAAACAAGTTCAACTGGAGATCACTTTTCAGCAAGCCTGATAAAAGATGACAATAATAAGCTGTTCTTTATAGTTCATTTTTTTTATTCGCAGTACAGATTCACACACATTTAATGTTATCACCCTCTCAATAAGCAGTTCTTCCATGTTAAACATGATATTTTCCAACCATATAAAATACTGATGTTTTTCTAAGCATGTAAGCAAAAACTAAACATAAGTGCAGTCGCCTATTCATTATTTTCCCACTATCTGATGTGGCGTTTAGCTACAGCATTCCTCTTCCCCAAGAAACCGCAACACATACGAGGATCCGCACAGGAGAACCTGACCCGTCAGTTTGGCCATGTACATGAAACATCGCAGTAAAGACCTGAGGAAGAAAAAAGGGAGTAATATTAATATGAATGATCACTTTCAGACTAGACTATACTTCTCGACAACAAGGTAGAATTTTGCTCTGTGGTAATCAGATTGTTCTTAAGGACAAAATTTTCAATGGTAAAAGTTCTGTATTATATTAGATGATAAAACGATACAATCATGTTCACTAGTAATGTCTGACTTTTGGATCCAATTGTGTGTGTCAAAAAAAATTGGCTATTTGTAATTAAAGTCATCACCTGCATCAAATGAAAATTGACAAATATTATTTTTCAAATTGAATATTACAGTAGGCTATATCTTTTATAAATTCTCTTCAAACATTATTTTTCTAAATTCACATGAAATCGAAATCTTGAATCAAAATACCTTCCCCTCCCTCTTGCATCTTTTCTCTTCACTGATGATGAGGGCGGAGCAAACTGTCACTCACATGAGATCCACCAATAGGAAACCACAACCATCCAATCAATTCCCAATGGACAAAATCAAGCCCCGCCCTACATTTGTTCTTGTTTCAGAAGTCGTTTCACTATCCGGTTTATTAGGAAATCTGTAATAAATCACGACATTAGGAAATTTATTGTGTGTGTGTCTCTTACATCAGAAAGTACTTGGCTCTGGTACACTTGACGTCGTATGAGAGTGAGTATATGTCATAGAGTGTGGCTTTAACAGTCAGGCAGCCCAGAAAGTCCTTTGGGTTCAGCTTGTACAGGTCAAAGCTCAATTTGGCAATCCCACTTCTTCTCGGTTGTCGGAAACTTGGCATAACCTGGGAAATATGAATTGAGGGCAACATAAATAGGTTGTTGTGAGACAAAATCACTGGGCATCAGAGTAAATACAAGCATGCGCTGTAGTATTTTAAATCTGATTGTTAAAAAATAAAAAAATAAAACCGATAAATGAACTGCTGCAAAAGAAACAACACTTGGGATCTGGTTAATCCGGCTCTATAGGGAACACAATCCTGATCCTGATTAGACCTAGTTTCAAATCTGCCTTCATTGTTTGCTTAAACAAAACAAAAAAAAAACTAAAAAAGGGGAAATGTCTTGTAAAGTATACAGTAAAGAAATAAATATCCTGTTATATTTACTGTCAAATGTGGTTTGCAAAAATTCTCTCTAAAAAGTAACAATTTTTCAGGCTTTTTTCAGGGATGCCAATTTGGTCACAAATTATATTTTAAATTTCACCCAGTATTACTCATATATACAGAAGAATTACAATTCATCGTGCTTTCATGAAACGTGCCATGATTAATAACTTCATAACGAAAATAAGAAGAACTTTAAATAGAAATAAAATCAAATGTTATTATAACACATCACTTTGTCACAGTCTTCGTCTTCACCTGTTTGTCTCGTCATCTGCACCACGCTTCCCCGGATCCTTTTGTTTCCTCTCCTGATCTCACTCCCTCATCAGCCACCTGTTCCTCGTCTGTTCGTCATCATTTTCACCTGTTTGCACTCCATTTAGTTTGATTCCTCTGTCTATTTAGTTCCATCTTATTCAGTCTGTCTTTGTCAGTCGATGTTTGATGTTACCTGGTGTTTGCGCCTGTTTCCCTGCCTTCCTGCCTGTATGTTTATAATAAATTCGTATTTTGATGTTAAACTGGATTCCTCCCGCTCCTTCGTCCTGCACTCCTGCACCCCTGCACCACACCCCGTGACAGATCGACTGACCAAGACAACGGAGAATTATGGACCTTCCAGCGGTAAGCCTCCTCTGTCTGGACCAGGAAGACCGCTCCCTGGAGTCCCATACCAGGGACTTTCTGGAATTGGCGTTTCACACTCACTATTTGGACCGCTCGCTGTGTGTTTTCTACATCGCCAGCCTCAGCGAGCGGTCCCGGGCACGCCTCCCAGGGAGCGGTCCAGCAGATGATTTCCTCGCCTGTGTGGAGTGGGTGCTGGTGTGCTGTGAATCCCCGTTCACCGTGGAAGAAGTCACCAGCACCACTCCAAAACCTGAGCCCTCATCTTCACTGGTCACCGTCAGCCCTCCCGAGCCGGAATGCTCTTCACCGCTGGTTCCGTCCAGCTCTCCAGAGACTAAAGGCTCTTCACCGCTGGTTCCGTCCAGCTCTCCAGAGGCTAAAGGCTCTTCACCGCTGGTTCCGTCCAGCTCTCCAGAGGCTAAAGGCTCTTCACCGCTGGTCCCATCCAGCTCTCCAAAGACTGAATGCTCTTCCCCGCTGGTTCCGTCCAGCTCTCCTGAGATTGAATGCTCTTCACCGCTGGTTCCGTCCAGCTCTCCAGAGGCTAAAGGCTCTTCCCCGCTGGTTCCGTCCAGCTCTCCAGAGACTGTATGCTCTCCGCTGCTGGTTCCGTCCAGCCCTCCAGAGACTGTATGCTCTTCACTGCTGGTTCCGTCCAGCTCTCCAGAGACTGTATGCTCTCCGCTGCTGGTTCCGTCCAGCTCTCCAGAGACTGTATGCTCTCCGCTGCTGGTTCCGTCCAGCTCTCCAGAGACTGTATGCTCTCCGCTGCTGGTTCGTCCAGCTCTCCAGAGACTGTATGCTCTCCGCTGCTGGTTCCGTCCAGCCCTCCAGAGACTGTATGCTCTTCACTGCTGGTTCCGTCCAGCTCTCCAGAGACTGTATGCTCTCCGCTGCTGGTTCCGTCCAGCTCTCCAGAGACTGTATGCTCTCCGCTGCTGGTTCCGTCCAGCTCTCCAGAGACTGTATGCTCTCCGCTGCTGGTTCCGTCCAGCCCTCCAGAGACTGTATGCTCTTCACTGCTGGTTCCGTCCAGCTCTCCAGAGACTGTATGCTCTCCGCTGCTGGTTCCGTCCAGCTCTCCAGAGACTGTATGCTCTCCGCTGCTGGTTCCGTCCAGCTCTCCAGAGACTGTATGCTCTCCGCTGCTGGTTCCGTCCAGCCCTCCAGAGACTGTATGCTCTCCGCTGCTGGTTCCGTCCAGCTCTCCAGAGACTGTATGCTCTCCGCTGCTGGTTCCGTCCAGCCCTCCAGAGACTGTATGCTCTTCACTGCTGGTTCCGTCCAGCTCTCCAGAGACTGTATGCTCTCCGCTGCTGGTTCCGTCCAGCTCTCCAGAGACTGTATGCTCTCCGCTGCTGGTTCCGTCCAGCTCTCCAGAGACTGTATGCTCTCCGCTGCTGGTTCCGTCCAGCCCTCCAGAGACTGTATGCTCTTCACTGCTGGTTCCGTCCAGCTCTCCAGAGACTGTATGCTCTCCGCTGCTGGTTCCGTCCAGCTCTCCAGAGACTGTATGCTCTCCGCTGCTGGTTCCGTCCAGCTCTCCAGAGACTGTATGCTCTCCGCTGCTGGTTCCGTCCAGCCCTCCAGAGACTGTATGCTCTTCGCTGCTGGTTCCGTCCAGCCCTCCAGAGACTGTATGCTCTTCACTGCTGGTTCCAACCAGCCCCGTCCAAACCGTCCAGACCGTCCAGCCAGAGACCGTCCAGACCGTCCAGCCAGAGACCGTCCAGACCGTCCAGCGAGAGACCATCCAGACCGTCCGGCCCGAGACCGTCCAGACCGTCCAGCCAGAGACCGTCCAGACCGTCCAACGAGAGACCGTCCAGACCGTCCAGCCAGAGACCGTCCAGACCATCCAGCGAGAGACCGTCCAGACCGTCCGGCCCGAGACCGTCCAGACCGTCCAGCCAGAGACCGTCCGGACCCTCCAGCCCGAGACCGTCCAGACCGTCCAGCCCGAGACCATCCACTCCCCATCTGCCCTTCACCCGGGACTCAACCCAAATATTTTTTGGGGGGGGCCCAGTGTCCCAGCCACGGCCGCCTGAAGGGCTCTCACCGCCGTGGCCTCCCGAAGGGCTCTCACCGCCACGGCCACCGGAAGGGCTCTCACCGCCGTGGCCTCCCGAAGGGCTCTCACCGCCGTGGCCTCCCGAAGGGCTCTCACCGCCACGGCCACCGGAAGGGCTCTCACCGCCACGGCCACCGGAAGGGCTCTCACCGCCGTGGCCTCCCGAAGAGCTCTCACCGCCACGGCCGCCTGAAGGGCTCTCACCGCCGTGGCCACCCGAAGGTCCTCGCATCCTGCTCCGCCCTGGCCACGCCCTCATCCTGCTCCGCCCTGGCCACGCCCTCATCCTGCTCCGCCCTGGCCACGCCCTCATCCTGCTCCATCCTGGCCACGCCCTCATCCTGCTCCGCCCTGGGGGGCTGCCTGCGCCTGACCACGTCCTCCACAGCCTCCAGGGCGCCCACCCCCCCTCCCCGCTGATGTTACGGCGTGAGGTCACGCCTACCGGGAGGGGGGAGTGATGTCACAGTCTTCGTCTTCACCTGTTTGTCTCGTCATCTGCACCACGCTTCCCCGGATCCTTTTGTTTCCTCTCCTGATCTCACTCCCTCATCAGCCACCTGTTCCTCGTCTGTTCGTCATCATTTTCACCTGTTTGCACTCCATTTAGTTTGATTCCTCTGTCTATTTAGTTCCATCTTATTCAGTCTGTCTTTGTCAGTCGATGTTTGATGTTACCTGGTGTTTGCGCCTGTTTCCCTGCCTTCCTGCCTGTATGTTTATAATAAATTCGTATTTTGATGTTAAACTGGATTCCTCCCGCTCCTTCGTCCTGCACTCCTGCACCCCTGCACCACACCCCGTGACACACTTCTTTTCATTCTTCATGTTACTGTTTATTAATGTAAAACAGGGATTCCTAAACTCTGAACCCCTTCACATCAAACACCCCTGAGTTTTTCAGTTATTATTTTAATAATTTAACAACACATTTGCACGTTCACGGTTCTGTGATGTCGGTTAATGTCAGGCAGGTAAATATTTTTTATTTTTGTGAGTGATTTTCTTTTAATTTATTCATTTTAATTTAAAATGATGATTTTATCTATCCCTGGTTTGTATGAAAAAATATATATTATAATATTTTAGTGTAAAATTTGTGTCTTGTTGAATATACAGTAAGGCTGATTTTGCACTGTTTTGTAATACTTCCCAAAACAATTTTTATAATAGTTTCCAGTGAAAATGACACTTTTTGTCAATGGACTTACAGTTAACCAATAACAGATTTTGTTCATTAAAATGATTAATATGTGCCACTGCTGTACCCGTTTGCTAGGAGTCCAGACTTCCCCTTTCTCCAGGACCATGAATGGAGTGTTATCCGGCAGAGACTGGAAAAAAGCCTCGGAGTCGACCACTGTCCCATCATCCTCCAGCACCAGTGTGAGCATCTGACACGCCATCACGAAGGAACTGGCCACCTGCAGAGAGAGAGAGAGAGAGAGAGAGAGAGAGAGAGAGAGAGAGAGACTTCATATGAATATTTTACTTAGAGTAGGCCTTATAGTAAGCTTGCGAAGAACTGCATGTGTTGACAATCTGAAACTTTGAGTAAAAACTTATTGAAAAACTTAACATAAAACTTATGTTATTATGCCAATACAGTAATAAGTTTGGTAATGTACTTTGCTAGGGGCATATGGTCTTTTAATATTGCAATACATATAACTCAAATTCAAATATAATCAGGTTTTTTTTCTAATCACTCTAATTCAGACACTTTTGGGAGTCAACTTAAAATAAATAAATAAATCAACAAACCAAGCCTTACCTACTCAAAAATAGGCTATTATCTGTAATATTGTTACCATATTTTTTATTTTATTTGATTATTTTTCTCCAGTATCTCCAATAAGATCTGGTTATAGACAGAATGATTATAGTGAGCAGAAGAGACGGCTGTGTAATCGAACCTGCTGCCGGAGGTCTCCGAGAGAGGTGCTCGTGAAGCCTGTCCTCCTGCGCCGGTTCTGCGAGCACACCCTGTACGGACGGGCCTGGGGAGGAGGAAGCATCCGCTGGGCAAGACACGCCATCGACGACACAGGCCTGGGGAGGTTGAGTACAGTTAAATCAGACACTTTGAATATGACAGAGTTTGAGGTATAGAAATGATTGTTATAACTTCAGGACCTGCAACCTCAGGACAGTCTATCGTTTCTGGACTCAGACTGCATGGCTACAGCTTGTCTGAAAACCAGAAATAACAGCTTTCTGTAGGATTTATTGGTGACCTGGGCAATTTGCCATTGACCCAACAGTTTGGTTTGTTAGAGTGAGATATGGTTATATAAACAGGAAATCAAATGTTTGACAATGCTTGACAAAACACAGCAGATAGTAGTACAGATCTACTGTGAAATAAAACAGCTCCTAATATAAAATGGTCACATTTTAATTATTCGATTTGTGCATTTAAGAATTGCATAAAATCGTTTACAGGAAAGTAATTATATGTTATGTAAACTAATTCTGCTGTAAAGCAGCTCTAAAAAAGACAATAGAGTCATTATTCAGCTAGATAATACTATTAAAAATACTTTACAATAAGGGTCAATTCATTACATTAGATATAAACTAACACTAATAAATATATAACAGCGTTTATTCATTTAGAAATATATTCTGTTCATTTGTTTTTTAAAACATTAGACACATTTAAATTTGAAAAAATACCATGTTGAAGTTAATATAGCCAAGATTAATAAATGCTGTAAACACTCACCTAAAGGATTATTAGGAACACGATACTAATACTGTGTTTGACCCCCTTTTGCCTTAATTCTACGTGGCATTGATTCAACAAGGTGCTGAAAGCATTCTTTAGAGATGTTGGTCCATATTGATAGGATGACCCATGTTGCAGTTGATGGAGATTTGTGGGATGCACATCCAGGGCACGAAGCTCCCGTTCCACCACATCCCAAAGATGCTCTATTGGGTTGAGATCTGGTGACTGTGGGGGCCATTTTAGTACAGTCAACTCATTGACATGATCAAGAAACCAATTTGAAATGATTCGAGCTTTGTGACATGGTGCATTATCCTGCTGGAAGCAGCCATCAGAGGATGGGGACATGGTGGCCATAAAGGGATGGACATGGTCAGAGACAATGCTCAGGTAGGCCGTGGCATTTAAACGATGCCCAATTGGCACTAAGGGGCCTAAAGTGTGCCAAGAAAACATCCCCCACACCATTACACCACCACCAGCCTGCACAGTGGTAACAAGGCATGATGGATCCATTTTCTCATTCTGTTTACGCCAAATTCTGACTCTACCATCAGAAATCGAGACTCATCAGACCAGGCAACATTTTTCCAGTCTTCAACTGTCCAATTTTGGTGAGCTCTTGCAAATGTCGCCTCTTTTTCCTATTTGTAGTGGAGATGAGTGGTACCCGGTGGGTCTTCTGCTGTTGTAGCCCATCCGCCTCAAGGTTGTGTGTGTTGTGGCTTCACAAATGCTTTGCTGCATACCTCGGTTGTAACGAGTGGTTACTCCTCTGACCTCTCGCATCAAAAGGCATTTTCGCCCACAGGACTGCCGCATACTGGATGTTTTTCCCTTTCACACCATTCTTTGTAAACCCTAGAAATGGTTTGTGTGTGAAAATCCCAGTAACTGAGCAGATTGTAATACTCAGACACCAACAACCATGCCACGCTCAAAATTGCTTAAATCACCTTTCACATTCAGTTTGGAGTTCAG